ACTTTTCGGCCTAAAATTGTATAGACCTTTTTATATTATTTTTTGTAATGGCATATGAAATTTTGGAAATGAGTTTTTTTAATTTGATAATAATTTGGTGGTGTATGGGCTTATGGGCTTTAAACCTGCGCTCAGTGTTTTTAATGTTGTGCTATGTTATGTTATGTGGTAATAACGTTCCAGCGCTCAAAGAAATTTAAGAAAGAAAGAAACTACCTTGAACAGATGAATGACAATAATATAAAATAACTTTTCATAATGAATAGTGAGGAATGATATCTTAATATAAACATGTATCAAATTCGATTTTAAAAGTCAATTCCTTTTCAATTAATTAAACTAATTTGAGGTTTTTACTAATGCTTTTGGAACTTTTGAAGCACCTCATTTATTTATAATTTTTTCATTTTCATCGTCGTGCAGCTCAAAAATGGTGCTGTCTCGCTGGAACGAACATATCTTGCCCTGTTTGTTCGTGTTTGACTAATTAGTTTCACTTAATTTTCTATCAACCAATTTTTTGTCTTCTCATATCATCATCTATTTGTTCATTCAACTGTATTCGTGCAACTGTATTAATTTATTTTCATACATTTTGAGATTGTTTGTCTGCTTTGGCTTACTATGTATTTTAGTGAAAAGTGTTCACGCCACAGTACAACAACACACGCCCATATCTACTGTTACTTACATACAATTCTATGCATTTGTGCCATCTACCAAAATTTTATTTTTATAAATTTTGAATTTTAATGTCGTATCTTTCATCTGTCTTCACTTTCTAAACCTTACAACGAAATACTTTCAAGGAATTAAAAACACAATACCATGGTTGGCATTTTCAAGATTAGAAAAAAGAATAAAAGTACATAGCACTTATTGATTTCCATAACATCAATTATATGTACAGTACACACACATATGTGTACAAAATGTTACGTAAAAAACAGTGTACGCACATTCATTGCATTGCATTATATTGCATAATCCAAGTGCATAGATAAAAATATTGCAGTTTTTATGCACGTTCATGAAGGCGTACATTTTCATATAATACACGTATACACATACAAAACAGACAAAACAAAAACATACAATAAAACAATACATACGCACCTACAAAACAAACAAAAACATACAATACACACGCACATACAAAACAAACAAAAACATACAATAAAATAAGGCATACGCACATACAAAACAAACAAAAACATACAATAAAACAATACACACGCACATACAAAACAAACAAAAACATACAATAAAACAATACACACGCACATACAAAACAAACAAAAACATACAATAAAACAATACACACGCACATAAAAAACAAACAAAAACGTACAATAAAACAATATATACATACATACAATACGCACATACAAAACACAGCAACATCAACGCGGCATCTGTCCGGCAAGCTTACAAAGGAGTTATACCTCAGTAGGCCGTTGAAGGTGCCAAATTTTTTATCAACAAATGTCAAGTTTGGTCTCACTAATAGACGCAACAGTCGCAGCAGGAACATGCTGCCAGTGTCTCATAAACTAACAATATGCAAAATCAAGGATAGAAAAGAACGAAAAATGCCAAAAAATATTTCCGAAAGGTTAATATTTTTGAAGAGCTGAGAGGATGAACAGGGATGAAATGTGATTGATGATGGGATGATGGGACAATTTAATTATTCAGGAGAACGCACAAAAGCTGTAAATAATCTGGCGGCAATTGCTCGGCACACTTCTGCTGCTGACGCGTCTGACGATGAAAAAGTCAACAAATAAAAAATAAAAATACATGAAGAGAGAGAGAGAGGTGAACGTTGTAAAGATGGATGACTCTGCTGGGAAATACGAGCAGTCGATTTAATTTTGTATTTTTTATTTTATTTAAATTATTTTGTCATGAATATGAAACTAGAGGTAAAAGCATATTTTGTTTGTGAAACACACACACACACCACACACACACACACTCACACACACGCTGCCAAACAGCATTTTTAAAATGAACCTTGTTCATGCCGCGCACTCAAAAAATTAGTGCGCCATAAATATTGTAAACATTGTGCTCCATTCACACACACACACCACAGACACACACACATAACACACACAACACACATACGCACACACACACACACACTCTCTCTCACCCTTTTCTTTCACACACAGAAATACATGCACATGCATATTGACACATACAAAGTAACACAGACAGACTCACCAAAACATTCACACACCGACACACGTACCCACCCACACTCACTCACAAACACACCAGCAGATTAATTAAACAGGTTCGGATTTATTTAAGGTTGGCTAAAGAGGCGCAGAAGCTAATGTTTTTTTTTAAATTTGAAGATGTCTGATTGTTTGAGCGCAGAAATGAATAGCAAGATTATCAATAAACCCGACTCTAATATTATCGTATGATTTTTTATTTTGTATTTTTTGGGCTCCACTAAGCGAGTGAACAGGTCTCGGCGCCAGGGTGATATAAATAAAATGAAGAGAACTCCAAAGTTGCCATTCCTTTCTTGGTGAAATAGCATTAAAATAAATAAATAAATTTAAACTCACGCAACCCCTCAACATATGAAATATCATTTCAAACAAGAGACTTCTAACACAACAAGAGAAGATTGACATTGATGATCTTCAGTTACTAAAGAATTTACAAGAACATTTTTGAACTTGACTTTGAAAGACAAACCTAAGGAAGACAAACTGCGTTTTAATTCCGGCTTCAAAACGGAAGAAGATTTCAAAATGGAGTGGGAGCGGAAATAAAAACAGATATTCTCGTTCTTCTTTTTGATGTCTTAGCCCTAAAAGAGGATTAAGACGATGTGAGCGATGCTGTTTTAAACATCCTTCAATGTTGAGACTGTTGTTCTGGATGCCTAATATTCTACATTATTTTCCTGTTCATGTTAATGATATCATTGATGTTTAATATTAATGTTATATTTTTACACTACATTTTATACTGATGTTATGGTCAAGGGCAGTAAATGTTGAAGTTTGGAGATTATTTTAACGTTGGTGGCGATATAAATGAATGTTGCTTTTAATTCGATACCATTGGATTCATTGATCATGGTAGTTATGATGTTACATATGCTGTTGACCATCTTAATGCTTTAGCTGCACAGTCGCAAATATCCAGGACGATGCTGCTTTAAAACGTTTATATCTATTTTTATTATATTTTTGAGAATAACTTTTTAAATTGCCTTGGAAGCAATTTTTAGTACTCTGAGCATCCAACTAAGCATTTTAAACACCGAACCTTCAAAGAATCTGTTTGTTAGACGTGTCTATATACGCAACATATTTCTTGTTGTGTATATAGACGTGTCTATATGCGTCAACATCTTGCATGTTTACATAACGAAAAATGTATAACATCGCCAGGACTTGAAATTTACAAAATTTTACAATACTTTAAATTTTATTTTATACAATTTTAAAAATTATAAACATCATCGACCTCAACTACCATTCAAATATTGACAACACAAACATCTAAAACGTTTCACAAAACTATTAAACTAATTAAAAATCGAAGACAATGGCATCTACTATATTGATGAGTTTGAACGCTGCCAACCTCGGCAGACTAGCAGGCAGTCACATTTCTTAAATAATGAGCTGACCTTGTCACTACTAACCCATCCAAACCTCATTCATTCCATTCAAATTTTAACATTTTCATATGTTTTTATTTTACTAAGATTTTCTTTTGTTTTGAAGAACTTTTTCTTTCTTAACGAAATTTATTTCTTGATGCGTGTTCAACAGAGCAGAATTTTAGAGCCACGTTGGCAGTTTTGTTTTCAGCTCTTGTCATTTTGTTGGTTTTGCCATTTTTTCTAATATTTTTAACTTTTCAACTTTTCGAAATTTGTAAAATCAAAACCAAATTATAAATTCTTATTGTTTTTATCCTAAACATAAACATAGCCACTCGTTCTTATCATCATCTAATGTAAAACCAACCGCTACATCCTATCAAATTATTGCCTAAAGCTTCACCATTAATTGTAAAATATTATCTCGTGAAATGTGGTTGAATGATGAAGAAAATTGCCACGGCAGATTTTTAACTTTTCAGTAAATGATTAAGACGACGACTAAGAGACGAAAATAACTCATCACTGTGACGAAAATAACTCATCACTGTGACGAAAATATAACTGACTAATTACGATAAGAAGGACGTCAGCGGGGAATGATGATCAACGTGACGAATGCGATGAATTTAACGATGATAAAGAAATTTTTCATCAAACTTCTTTTTAACAACCACGAATAAAAAGTCATAAAAAATTATAGCAAGAAAACGAACGACATAGGAGTGTCATTAAATGGTTATTCCAAGCGGACAGGGGCTTTCATAATGAGTCCCTGATATAATTGATGGTGTCTGAAATTGCGATCCTCATTTTTCATCCAATTTCCCGCGCAAAATTATCATTTTCCTTTTGCGTGCTTATCTCTTAACAGGTAATCTAATGGCTGACACACACACACACACCACACCATACACACACACCACACCATACACACCATACACACACACACACCACACCATACACACACACACACACCATAACATACACACACACAAACACACACACCACACCATACATACACACACACACAAACAAACACACACACACACACTGAATGCATATAAGCAGATATTGTGCGTATATAATATATGTGCATCCGTCCGTACACAGACCCTCACAAACACACACACACGCACACACACACACACGCACAAACACAAACAATAGCACATACCACCTGGAATCGTGAATGATTGTATAAAATAGTAATTTATATCCAAAATTGCATTGCAGGCACGAAGATCATTAGTATTTATCTAGCGCTTATCATAAAAAAACGATTCTCATTTATTTGCAAATATAAAAATAACTATAAAGAATAATAAGGAAATACTCATCAAAAAGTTGATGAGAAATGGCGCGAATTAAAAAAAATTATCTCGTCATCGTAATACCATCACCAGGTGTTTCTGGTTTACCGTAGGTAAAATATTATAATGTCCGGAATTAAAAAGTTTAAAACATATTTACTCTGTAAATTCTTTTAATAATTTTTGAAGGCGTCTGAAGTGCATTCCTCGTGAAACTTCATCACCTGCCATTTCATATTCCTCTTTCGTGATATCAATTCCTGATGTAGGCGTTCCGACATTAATGCCGTTTGCTAGATTCATTGTTATCATTGATTTCCTTTTTATTAGGTTTTAAAGCAGGGCTGGGCAAACTACGGCACGCGGGTCGCCCGCGAAGCTATTTTATGCGGCCGGCGAGGCTTTGTTCGCCTAAAAAAGATCGTCAGTCAGACATTGCGACCAAAAGAAGGAGCCACAAATCTTAAAAAAATCTCCCCCGGGTCGAAAAAATTAGCTATTTAATAGCAAATGCGGCCCTCACAGAGTAAAATTTGTCCACCCCTGTTTTGGAGGTATGAAAAAGGTACATGTGAATAGGCAAATGAATACACGCGGATCTGAGCGTGTCACATAAAGATAGATAAAGATAGGTAGGTGAGGTAGTTTTTGTTGGTCGGAACGTCCAATGAAGCACACATAGATTTGCTTCGGCATTAAAAAACAGTCGAAAGTATATTATTAAATTTTTTTCATTTTGTTTATTTTTTACTTCGTTACTCACTCACTCACTCTCTCATCTTCCTTTATCTTCTCAATTAAAATTTTCTCTATTTAATTTTATACGTGCTTCAGTTATCAAGTTAATAGGATTGGCAGGGTGGTGCAGTGGTTCAGAGGCCTGTATGGTCTCCATGCTTAAGTTGCTGGGTTCGATTAGGTAGAAGTCTCTTGTCTTAAAATGAATTCAAGCGTATTTATAGATTGATCGTGAGAGCGTCAAAATATTATTAATAATAATTATTATTATTCCAGTCATTTTGGTCTAAATACTTATGAAAGAGTTATGGAAGATGAATAGAAATATTTAAAAAAAAGATTAAAAGAAATTGGGAAGGAAGCTGGAAGGAAAAGAAAATGAACAAAGTGCAAGAGATAAAGTAAAAAGTGAAAGAGAGAGAGAGAGAGAGAAAAGAGAAATAAAGATGAATTGACACAAGGGAAGAGAATAACCGTACGTACGAATTTTCACAGACTCCACACGGGGAATACTTGGTGCGCTGAATGTATTAGGAAGTTGCTGGAAAGTATACTAATGTATAAACATGGGTAGCAGTATAAACACGTATTTTTAAGAGTTCTCTTGCAATGCTCGTTACAAGTATGACGTTTTATGTGTATTCGTGTGTGTTTGTGTGTGTGTGTTTGTATGCGTGCGTGCGTGAATTTATGTTTGTATTGGCGATTATATGCATTGTGTGTGTGCATACACGCTTGGTTTGTATGTAGATTGGAGGCAATGAAATAATGGCCAACATGTTGTATACGTCTTCCATATTTCCAACTTCCTCTCTATGTTAATGATTTTTTTGTTGCTTCTATTTGAAACTGTTTATTGATTTAGATGATTCTGATAAATTTTTTTTCTTGAGGCTTTGCTTGCAGATTTTTATTAAAAGTAAATTTAAAGCTTTTCAACGTTTAGTTTGAAAAGCATCACTAAAATTAAGTCAAGAAAGATAAAACTGTTCAACAAATATGTACAGTTTTTTAATTTGAAAAAAGAAGAAAAAATGGTGACAATAAATTTACAGTTTCTTTTTTCAGATTGTTCGATCAACTTTTAAAAGCATTTTATTAATTTTGTATTGTTTAGCATAGTCTGTCAGCCCGAATCTTTAAAGAATACACTAAACCTTGTTATATAAATTTTTTATTTTAACCAAGTATTTCCGATATGTTATTTCAATTAATTATTTTCAACAATCTAGACAAAAAATTTAAAGAAAAAAAAACTATTTTTACAGAATTAATTTACATTGCACTTAAAATTTGCATAACAACCGTTGTTTTCGTCAAACTCAAGATGAGCCCTTGATAATTTTCTTTTCATTCATATTCAGCCAAGCTGAGCACTAAACTCTGGCAAACTGCGAGTCAAAACACAATCTCTTCTGGAATAATGAGAGATATAAACTTGAGAGACGTCAGATTCCGTCCATTTATACGCTGTGGCTGCGGTGAGTGCGTGCATTGTTAGCAGAAAATATGGAAAAATTCTTGAAAAATAACCCCAAAAAACAATCAAAAATGGAAAAATAAGAATATAATAAGAATATAAAGACCGACATTTTGTAGAATGAAAATAAGACAAAAAAATTTGTATTCTAACGAAATAAATATTTTGTTTTAAAAGTTGTCAGATAAAAAACTATATTAAAAACATTGTCACACATGCATGTATATCTATTTATACCTATATATGTCTTTATTTATATATATAAATATATATATCTATATTGTTACACATGTGTATATACATATATCTATATCGTTACACATGTGTAGATATATCTATATTGTTTCACATACATGTATTTATAATAAAGGTTCGTTTGCATATTTTTGTGTGGACTTGTGCTTCAATAGACATCTGAGTGGTTAACTGGACGGTGAAACGATAAATTATCAAATTTGATCATTGTTTTTTTTATGGTTAAATTATTCATTATAAACATATAACACACCACGGATTTACACGGACACACACAGATACACTCACTCTCACTTTCTCTCTCTCTCTCTCTCTCTCTCTCTCTCTCTCACACACACACACACATACAAATAATACACAAATGTTTTTAAAACATTATAAATTACTCTGGTATGTGTTAATCTTTCTTACATTGAAATGACCTTTAAAAAGCGCAAATTACCTTGACTAAATTTAATGAAAATTATTAACGCCTTTTAAAATAATTGGGCAATTATGAACGAATTAAGTTTAAAAAACATAAAACATTCGGTTGGATAAAAAATAATATATAGGAAAAACAACATCATGACGCAAAGTTTTGTTCTTTATGGCACTAATGCTTTCTTCTCATAAACATAGAAGCGTCTATTTAATGTTGCAATATTACTTCCTTAACGACACAGACGTACATAGCGATGGTTGATAAAACATACACACACTAACATGAACGTGTGGCCAGTGTGGTGGCATTGAAGGACGCAAACATAAACCTGTGGCCAGTGTGGTGGCAGTGAAGGATGCAAACATCAACGTGTGACTAGTGTGGTTGAATTGGAGGACAACAACTATCACGCCATCTATTTCCGTTGAAGAATGTTTTATTGAAAAAAAAATTTTGAAAAAACCATTTTATTATTATTATTGTTTTTGATGTTGTTGTTGTTGTTGTTGGTGGTGGTGTTGTTGTTGTTGCTGTCGCTTCTGCTACTGCTGCGGCTGTTCGCATTCAAAAGTTTATGTTTGTGTTTTTTATTTTAAAAGTTTTTTTAGAAACATTTTAAAACCAGCATCATTTGGGAATTATTTTATGTGCGATTTGTTGAAATAAAAATAGCAGAATGAACTTTTTATAAACAGTTTGGTAAAATTTTCAAAGAAGTTTTATTTAATTTTTTGAAAAAATTATTTGTTTATTTTTTTTATATATACACAGCTTTATCATTAAACTACAAATTATCTTTTATAAAAGGGAATGCGAGTACAATGGTAAAACAATGGACGTTTTTCTAGGTAGCTAAGCAATTACGCTTGAGAAGGTAAAAGCCAACAAGCTGGCGAAACAGATGAAGCAGTGATGACGAAGAAAATGATGATGAGGATGATGAGGATAAAAGAGATGATGATGAAAAAGAAGAGGATAAAGATGAAGGTGCAGTAGAAAATGAGGAATTGAGAACAAAGAGGAAGAGAGTGAAGATGATGAAGATGCGGCTGATGATGATGGCGAAGAAGATGAGAATGGTGAGTAAGAAGATGATGAAAAAAAAGGAATTAAAGAAGATAATAATGAAAAAGAAAAGGTAAGGATGAAAATGTGGATGAAAAGGTGGAGGAAAATGAGGAACTAAGAACAAAGAGGAAGAGAATGAAAATGATAATGTGGATGAAAAAGATGAGGAGGCTGAAGAGAAGGTGAAGATGATAAAAAATTAGAAAAAGGATGATAATGCCTTATCCAGGCAGTCATGGATTGACTATGGAGAGAGGGGATTGAAGATGAAGATGACGACGAAGTAAATAAGAAGATGAAGGTGAAGGTGAGGAAGAAGATGAACGTGAAGAAGAAGATGAAGATGAAGGTGAGGAAGATGATGAAAATGAAGGTGAGGAAGATGATGAGGATGAAGATGAGGAAGAAGATGAAGATGAAAACGATGAGTGTGAAGACGGAGATGATTGATATTTTTCAATTAAATGTTGCATACCAGTTTTGTATGCATGCTGATGTCTGGCCCCATGTCTGTCATGCTGTGTTTGTTTGATTATCTCTTTCTTCATCTGTCTGTTGGTTTGTCTGCCTGCGTATTTCATTACTGCCTGCCTGCTCGTTTGTTTTCGTCAATGAGTGTGTCTTTGTTTCTTTCATAGCTTATTTGTTTGCCTGTTAGTTTGTTTATTTGTTTGTTTGTTTTTATCGTAGTTTGTTTGTTTTTATCTTTGTTTGTTTTTATACTAATTTGTTTGTCTGTTGGTTTTTTCCAGCTTATCTCTTCACCAGTTCGGATGTTTCACTGTTCAGTTGCTGGTGGCTATATACATTTGTCCTTACATCTGCTTGTCTGTTTATTAGTTTCTTTATTTATCTGCCTGTTTAAATGTTTTTCCATCTGTTTGTTTGTCTGTCTGTTTCAGTCTTTCTCAGTCTGTCTTCCTGTCTTTTGGTTTGTATATGCGTTTATTTGTTTATCTATCTGTCTGTTTGTCTGTTTGTTTCAGTCTGTCTGCCTCAGTCTGTCTGCCTCAGTCTGTCTGCCTCAGTCTGTCTGTCTGTATTTCTGCTGGACGTCGTGCGCCAGTTCTGTTTTATGACGTCATTGCCAGACGACATGTCTTGCAGGAGAAGAGAGGAATTAGCGGCCAAGAAAAAACATAAAAAATATTATTATAAGTAGTAAGAGCAATAAGATGAAGGAAACAAACAGAAATGAACAATGGAGTAAAAGGAAGCTGCTTGGTCCAATGCACTGTTATTATTATTATATTATTATTATTATTATTACTATTATTATCATCATCATCTCTTTGTGCCCATTTAAAATGTATTGCGAGCATTGTAGATTATCTATATAATTAACATTATAAGCTTTATTACTTTAACTTCATAATTACAATACATGTTTTAAAATGAAAATAAAAATTATTGTTATTATTATTATTACTACTACTACTACTACTACTACTACTACTACTACTACTACTACTACTACTACTACTACTACTACTACTACTATTGCATTCTCTCTCTCTTCAGAAGCATCAACAAAAAACACACAGTGCAGCTGAATGTAAGTTAAACAACGTATCACAAGCACTGCACGTGACGGGCTGGGATCTCTTCGCAATCGAATCCGGTGACTACAACAGCTGTGCCAGGCACTCTACCGCTACACCATCGCGTCACCCATATTGGCTGTAATGCTGATGTTTGTGACGATGGAGACAAATGATATAAAGAAATGCCCCATAAAATGAGTTATATTAAACTGTATTTAAAACACCTTGTTATGAAATAATAATAATAATAATAATAATAAGAAAAATAATAAGAATAATAAAATAATAATAGCCGGCAATTTTTAAAGATATAAAGTTGTAGAGATGTCTTCTACTAGGTGAGTATTGCTTAAATGATAGTATTTCTAAAAGATGAAATGATGTTTTATAAATTATTTTTCATAGTATTCAGACAATAATAAAAAAACTTATTAATTAATTAAATTATTTGTTGAGAAATTTATTGCATAAATTAAGATAACTCGGGTTATTGTATTCGAATGAATGTTTATAAACGAAAAAAACTAACAAAATCCACACAGACAGAAACTAAATGCTTTCAAGAATTTTTTCGAAGTGTCGAAAGTTATAAGGGGAAAACGTAAAGAGACTTGATGATGTAGATGGGAGCATCAATAAAATGTCAATGAATATTTTTTATTTCGTGGTCCTTTAAGTTTTTACTACGATTTGGCGAGAAGTTTTTTTAGTTTGTTTGTGTTTTTGTGTTTGTTTGTTTGCTTTTGATTGTTTTTTGTGTTTGTTTGTGTTTGTGTTTGTTTGTTTGGGTTTGTTTGTTTGTGTTCGTTTGTTTGTTTGCTTGTGGTTTTTTTATTTGTTAGAATAAAGTGTAGTAGTTATAAGTAGGTGAATTAGTAAATTGAATTATATCATTTAATAATCTAATTAATTTACCATTTATATTGAATTGCACTCAAATTGAAATCACAAAAAGTGATACGATAACAGACAAAAAATTTACTCAATAAATATCGAATTATGAATAAAAATGAAAAATATTCTGATGAAAGCTTGTAATATTTAGTTTATGAAAATTATTTCAACGAATGAGCTAGCAGTTGAACCAGGGACGGCCTCAATGCTTAAAACAACTTGGGTGAGAAAAATATGACATGAACAAATTTTTTGACAAAGCTAATAAAATAAGTGAGAATAGAAGGAATGATAATTTTTCAAACAACCCCGCGTTTGCAGCCTCCTCAAATCAAGAAACGTCATCGTCGTCACTACCATCTTCATCATCACCGTCATTATCACCATTATCATCAGTTTCATTATCACCATCATCATCAGCGTCATCACTGCAACCATCATCATAACCGTCTTCTTCATCGTCATCATTTATTGTCATTATGATCAAAGTAGTAGGAGTACAATCATACCATCAGAGATATTCATTATCAGAGTTATTATTTTTTAGGACTTTTTTTTGTTTCTACTTTTCAACATCATTTCAATCTTTACCGTTAAAACCATCATATTATTGGGGCTGTTATCATCATCATCATTATCATCTCGTCATCAGTATATTCATTATCATCATCTTCATCATTATCATCATCATCATTATCATCGTTATCAACATATTCATCATTATCATCATCTAATCATTATCGCCATGTTCCTTTCTCGTCATCGGCACACTCACTCACTCACTCACTTACTCACACATTCACTCACTAACTCATTTATCCTCTTATCACCTAGATAGCTCATATCATCATCATAGTCATTCAACTTCTCAATAGATTGGATAGTTGTACTCTCAACATATCAACACATTTATCATTTCATCATCAGCATAGTTATCCGTCAAATCGGAATATTCACCATCTTATTGCATTATCATCACCGTATCATCGTTAATATAAACACCTTCTATCATCATTCTCATCATCACTCCATCACCTTCGTCATCATCATCATCATCATTATCATCATCTTTCCACATCATCGTCGTCGTCATCATCATCATTTAAATGCACGTCATAAATCAAGCTGGCTTCTATCGTAGTGAAGATTGCAAGTGCCATGTTAAACTCACTCCCCAATTATAAAAATGTTCAATGATTGATGGATGGATGGATGGATGGATGGATGGAGATGGATAGATGGATGGATGGATGGATGGATGGATGGATGGATGGATGGATGGATGGATGGATGGATGGATGGATGGATGGATGGATGGATGGATGGATGGATGGATGGACGGACTGAGGGATGGATGAATTGTTGAAGGTTTGAATAAATAGATGAATAGATAAAAATTTGAAAGATAGATTGAATGAGAAAAAGATAAAATAAATAAACGAATGACTGAAAAATAATTAAATAAATAGATTTAGAAAAACATGGTTCATGGAGGTTAACATTGATACAAATATTGTACACTGACCAATAATATTTTTTAAAATAAATTTCAATGTGGAATTTTAATTGAACTAAAATTTTAAAAATTTACTAAATTTTAATCTAGAAACATTTAATAACATTATTCAACAGCAAACAATCCCCAAATTCATAACCAATTCAATCTACCTCAATTCTTCAGTACACCACTCAATCGAAGAAACCCATTTGATAATGATACATTCTGATATATTTGATTTGATTTTATTGATATTTGTAAAATATATCTTCTCAATTTATTCCAACAAATCGATCATTCAAGCTCATTCGAATGAGCCCGTGCTAGACGTTATAACATGAAGGCAACAATAGAAGCCAATAGGAACAGCCATTATTAGATATAACTTATGCAATAGAGCGTGAAGACTGATAGCCTCAACAGAGACGCCATACATTCACTCATTCATTCATTCGTTCGTTCGTTCTTTCATCCATCCATTCATTCATTTGTTTGTTCGTTCGTTCAGTCATTCATTCGTTTGTCCATTCATTCATTTATTCATTTATTTATTCATTCGTTCGTTCGTTCGTTCATTCATTCATTCATCGGTTCATTCGTTCATTCATTCATTCGTTCATTCATTCATTTATCTATCCATCCATGCATCCATCAATTCGTTCATTCATTCATTCATTCATACATATGCCATGTCATACACTCATTTGCAACTGATTATGTATGATGTATCTATCTTCTTGTTAAATATGGCAAGTTGTCTATCAACCAGTTTTCATATTCGTTGTGGTTTTTAAACATTTTCCTTCAATAAACGTTTTTGTTGCTTTTTTTCACGGTGTATTAAAAGAAAATGCAATAATATGTCATTCAATCGTTCATTCATCCATCCATTCATTCATTCATTCGTTCGTTCGTTCGTTCGTTCGTTCGTTCGTTCGTTCATTCATTCATTCATTTCTTTTTCTGAGCCTTCCTCATTGCATGCTATATAAACTAAGAATTTTTTTTTAAATTGTGTACCTTGGTTTATAAATACGTATCATGGCATAGCATATCTTACATAATCACAACCGCTTCAGTCGGATTTGCATGCAATGCAATTTACACGGACCAGAATTTTCTAAATTATGTTCTGGAAAAAAAAATTCTCCTCTACATAAATCATACTTCAGTTTGAATAATTAATCAGCATTATTGCAACAAAGGTATCAAATTTATATTTCTTTGTTATTTTGCATCGAATTTATATATCTTTGGTATCTCGTATCGAATTTATATTTCTTTGGTATCTTGCATCGAATTTATATATCTTTGGTATCTCGTATCGAATTTATATTTCTTTAGTATCTCGTATCGAATTTATATTTCTTTGGTATCTCATATCGAATTTATATTTTTTTGGTATCTCGTATCGAATTTATATTTCTTTGGTATTTTGTACCGAATTTATATTTCTTTGGTATCTCGTATCGAATTTATATTTCTTTGGTATTTTGTATCGAATTTATTTTCTTTGGTATCTTGTATCATACTTCAGCTCATTAAATAATAAAAATCTGATGATAATTACTGACAATAATAATAATGATGATGATATGTATTTTATATTTTAAGTGCATAAAATAAATGTTAAAAAATCACACACACACACACACATACATACACATAAACATACACACATGCTTTTTCTCTCTCTCTCTTTCTCACACACACACACACACACACACACATACATACATACAACACACACACGTGCGATTGTATGCATGTGTATGTATATATATATATGTGTAGGTGTTGTGTGTCTCTATGTATAAATATACACATTTAAAGTTCAACATGCTTATTCACATAGATATTTACAATATTGTAAATGCATTGGTGTACAATACATACTTGTATATATTAAAGTACACATACATTACGTGTTTTAGGCGTATTTATTGTTATGTATGTATGTATGTATGTATGTATGTATGTATGTATGTATGTATGTATGTATGTATGTATGTATGTATGTATGTATGTATGTATGTATGTATGTATGTATGTATGTATGTATGTATGTATGTATGTATGTATGTATGTGTGTATGTATGTATGTATGTATGTATGTATGTATGTATGTATGTATGTATGTATGTATGTATGTATGTATGTATGTATGTATGTATGTATGTATGTATGTATGTATGTATGTATGTATGTATGTATGTATGTATGTATGTATGTATGTATGTATGTATGTATGTATGTATGTATGTATGTATGTATGTATGTATGTATGTATGTATGTATGTATGTATGTATGTATGTATGTATGTATGTATGTATGTATGTATGTATGTATGTATGTATGTATGTATGTATGTATGTATGTATGTATGTATGTATGTAT